AGAAATGATATTTGTTATACATACAATTTAAAATACCATATTTCCAGGGGCCGGCCCCGTGGGCTAGTGGTTAAGTTCAGCATGTTGCACTTCAGTGGCCCGAGTTCCTGGGTTTGGATCCTAGGCACAGGGACCTACACCACTCGTCAGCAGCCATGCGGTGGCAGCGACCCACATATAAAATAGAGGAAGATCGGCACAGGTGTTAGCTCAGGTCAAATCTTCCTCAAACAAAAAGAGGAAGATTGGCAACAGATGTTAGCTCAGGTCAAATCTGCCTCAGCAAAAAAAAAAAAAAAAAAATGTTTCCGTTTGTAGATAAAGGATCCAAATTATATTATGAGAGCCCTTTGGCTATTTTATTCCCTCTTCTGTCTTCCTTTAAAACTTTATCATCTGAATTGTGCTATAAGGAGAAACAGAATACTCCTATAATTATGAATCAGGTTGCGATGCCAAAAAGTAATAATTAAAACAGGAAATGTGATTTCCTTCTCACTTTCAAAGGCACTTACTGTAACGGAGATCTTCGGATGCGGTACAACTAGAGGACGTTTGAGCACTCGTGTGAGACTTGGGCTTGAGTGATAAATTGAGATGCCAGTCTTCTAGGACAGGGACCAGGAGAAGGAGATAATTTTAACTCAGCAGTTATTTGCCTTTTGTGTTCCAGATTTCACCTTCTTTTACTTTTGCTTTTAGTGAGTGGTTCTAAGAGTTCTTGATATTTTATGACTTTGGAGAGGGGAAGGGCTCTCACTGAAAACCTGCTTTGAACAGCTAGGACTGGCGGCTTTACCATTTCCACTGCCTCTTGTCCTGTTTGGAGCCTAAGATTTGAAAGTGAGATTCCAATTTTCACAAGTCATTCTCAGCATTCTACAAATGTACCTGCTTCTTTGGTTAGTGTTTTCTCATTTTGATATATTTTAAATGATTAAATTTCAGAATCGTGAACCTCTGATGCCATCTCCACAGTTTATTAAATCTTACTTCAGTTCTTTCACGGATGATATAATTTCTCAGCCCATGCTTAAAGGAGAGAAGTCTGATGAAGATAAAGACAAGGAAGGGGAGGCGTTAGAAGTAAAAGAAAAGTAAGTGTGTCAAGCGTAGTATCTGCTTAATGTTTTGGGGAGGATTTTTGGTTTTGTTTTTGGTTTTTTGCTGCCATAGAGCTCAAGTGGGACTCTGAGCCATCTCAAAAAAAAACCTATCTATAGATAGATATAAATATAAATATAATAACAGTTATAATATATAATAATATTATCATTATGATAAAAACACTTCTCCTCTCACATGTGTCTGTTACACCCTGAGAGTTCCTTCTCTGGTGACTCAGGTTTTACTGCTGCGAGCTGCTCTCACGGGCCTACGTGACATTCTCAAGAGGACCCTCAGTGCATCGGGTGGTTGACTGTAATTGAATAGGGCATTTTCTTGACAATTACCCTGTAGGTCAGCATGTAAATGTTTTAATGCAGGGAAGTTTGTAATTCATAAACTGTGAGATGCTTAGGAGTGCCCAAAAGAATGACTTTCTTCACGGTTTTTTCTGCTTACCTAGGAAAATGCTATTCTTTGGGCTTCTTGTGTTTGCTCCTGTAGAGAGTTGAAACCAAACAAGATGCTACGTTTACAACTGGAGATCAAGTGATACTATGTAGTATATAAGCCATCTAGCCTGCTTATCCATTGGTAATTATCAATACTTGTTAAGGCCAGCTCTCCTCTCTGAGAGAAGGTATAATATTATTACCAGTATGACATTTTTTTGTGTGTGTGAGGAAGATTAGCCCTGAGCTAACATCCGCTGCCAATCCTCCTCTTTTTGCTGAGGAAGATTGGCCCTGGGCTAACATCCGTGCCCATCTTCCTCTACTTTATATGGGACACCGCCACAGCACAGCTTGACAAGCAGTGTGTCGGTGCGCGCCTGGGATCTGAACCTGCAAACCCCAAGCCGCCGCAGCGGAGCGCGCACACTTAACCGCCTGAGCCACTGGGCCGGGCCCCATCAGCATGACATTTTTTGATGAGTTTGGAAGAGAAGGGAGTATTGTACCTATAGGAAAGCATTGTTTTGCATCTATAGCATATTGGAAGGTTTGAGGAAACAGATTGCTTTTGATTTGTACCTCCCCATTTTTCTACCACTGTTGGCTACCTTTTAAGGGAAGATTCTATGTATAATTGTACCAAGATTTTCAAGTTTTAATTAGTTGATATGCAGTCTTTTCAGAAAATTGTAGTTGGAAAGTAAATGTTTAGGATGATGCCAGTAATTGCCTCTTCTGGTTAGGAAATAGTCCTTGTTCCAGATAAGCTACAATGGAGTTAACACCATTATTCTAAAAGCTGTAGTTAGAGGTGGCAGGACACAGCTGCCTCTCACCTAAACACTGACTGGAGTTGGACCTAGTTTTGAATTCCATTTTACTCTGAACCTTAGCTTCATCATTTTTTAAATGGGGCCAATAATACTTACCTTTGAGGGTTGTTGTGAGGTTTAGAGGTCACGTTTATAAGTATCTAGCGCGTAGGTTCTCAACAAGCAGGAACCATTATTACTTCCAATCTAAAGTGCAAGGGATATTAGAATGTAATTAAAGGAAAGATTAGCACAGAATTTACAAAATTTTGACCAACATAACTTTGTCACTTGCCAGTTTTCTGTATTGAGAATATATAACAAATGAAATGCGAAAATGTACTTTAATTTACAGTGCCTTTTATCTGTAAGACTCCTTATTGGTCATTTAGTATAAATTTCTTTTCAGTTCAAAAAAATTGCTTCTGCAAGCATCCTCTATAAAAGTCACCATCTTAGAAGAATAATGATATTGTGGTCACTGCATTTTAAAAAGTAGGGAAGCTTGTTTTTTTAAAGTCTTATTTGATGGAAGAGTCTTCCTTTAAATTTTCTTCTTTGATATTTCCACCTATTCATTCTAGGGCTGTTCTTTTAGGTAAAACCACACAACTTCTGGATGAGAGCCCTTCAGATATATCCCTGCCTCCAGTCTTGCTCCCTTACAGTCCATTTTCCACAGCACAGCCAGAGTGATCTTTACAAAGCATAGGTCGAGTCACACCTCTGCCCTTGGCTTCTGTGACCCCTAGACTCACTTGATTATTTCCTGTTTCCCTGTTCTTTCTGTTAGTCATAAAAGAACTGTTGAGTGCCACCAGTGTGCCACAGATGTGAAGGTGAATAAGACAGGATCCTTGCTCACATTGCACAGCAGTCTGTCATTAGCTTATCCTTCCACATTTCTAAATGTTGAGCCCTGCGTGGTAACTCTAGGTTTCTGCCAGTGACTCTGCTGGTTCTTTTTTTAAAACTCTCTTTCCAAGGCATCAAGAAAATCCAGTCTGCATCAAAAATCCTAATCTGTTACCTCCCTGCCCTACTCCAGTCCCACACTGGCTGATTAACTTGTTAAGGGGAAATGGACAATTGCTTAACTCAGGTATACTAAATGTGGCAAGTTTTAGCATTTGATCCTTTCTTAGTAAATAATTTCCTATGTTCATTTTTATTTTCAGTTCTGGATATTTAAAGGCCAAACAGTATATGGAAGAAGAAAACTATGATAAAATCATAAGTGAATGCTCAAAAGAAATAGATGCTCAAGGCAAATACATGGCAGAAGCATTATTACTACGAGCCACCTTCTACCTGCTTATTGGCAATGCCAATGCGGCCAAACCAGATTTAGATAAGGTCATCAGTTTGAAAGATGCTAACGTGAAGGTACATTTAAAAATGTGTGTGTGTGTGCATGTGAAGAAAATTAGTAAGTAAAAATGAGGCTTTTAGATGTGTTTTGCCAAATTTTTCGCATTTCAATTGCCATTCTCCAAAAGACTATTTTTGTTTTGGAAGAAACTACACCTAATAATGATTGAGCTGGTACAGTGAAACTGAGACATACATATCAGTGCTGCTCATCTTGAGCTGGGAAGGGATTTTTCCCACAGCGTCTGACAGCTTCAGCTTCCCCTTGCAGCCGCCGCCTGCTGTGCTGGGCTCGGGAGGAGTGAGGCTGGTGGAGCAGTGCTGTCGTGATGCTGTGAGGAGCTTGCGTGCGTGCTGCAGGGTTATAAAGTGCGTGCAGTAGACATAAACACATTCAGTCATACATTCTGAAAGATTTTGTGTTACGGGAAGAAAAACACAGGTTCTGAAAATACAGTATAGAAATATACCAAAAGTTTTTAGAGTTCTGTGGTCGGAACAGCTTTCCATTTTCCAAGTGTTCTTATGTGTATGTAATTATTTCTGTAATTAAGAATTAGGGGGAGTCTGTTGAATTCTGTGAGCCTTCTACTCTGTAACAAGACAGAGCTTAGCCACCAACTCTATTCCTTACTAGTTTATTAACATCTCTGTGGCCTGTTTCCTCATTGAATTAAGTGAACTCAGGCTTTCTTCACCTCCATTCATGTATTTTGTGGAATATAAAAGTTGTTTTCAAGGCCTTAGTATTGTTAACAAATTATCTTCTTATAAACAAAAGTAATGACCACTAAGTATTTATTAAAAGTTCCTTTCAAAATGAGATTTTCAAATTGAAGATACCCTAGTAATATTATCTTTAATTTTATTTCCTGCTGATTACAAATATGTTCTGTTTTTTGTTTTTTGTTTTGTGGAAGATCAGACCTAAGCTAACATCCATGCCAATCCTCCTTTTTTGTGAGGAGGACCGGCCCTGAGCTACCATCTGTTGCCAATCCTCCTCCTTTTTTTTCCCCTTTTTTCCCCAAAGCCCCAGTAGGTAGTTGTATGTCATAGTTGCACATCCTTCTAGTTGCTGCATGTGGGACGTGGCCTCAGCATGGCCGGAGAAGTGGTGCCTCGGTGCGCGCCCGGGATCCGAACCCGGGCTGCCAGTAGCAGAGCGCACGCACTTAACCGCTAAGCCACAGGGCCGGCCCAAATATCTTCTGTTTTGTATTTTTGTTAAAATTAGGGGGACATCCTTGTTTGTTTCACTGAGGAAGACATTTATATGTACTTTTGTCTTGAAAAATTCTTTCATGATCATGACTTTTGGTTTTGTTTTTTTTTTTTT